TGTCTGTTTGTTCAGTGTGGACTTACATTTTAATTTTCGCCCATGAACGCTCTAAATTTCGATCACATGTCCTCGGTTTGTATTTAAAAATATTAGTCGCGATGTAAAGAGGATCTCGCGAAGGGGCGAATGTTCGTAACTCGTACCTAAATATGCGCTAAGAATCGATCCAAGATCTGTGCCAATAAAAGAATTTAGCCAATGTAGCGTTAAATGCGAAACCACCACACACCAACCACCACCACAGAGAAAAAAAATCTGTACGTTTCAGTGAAAATTTTCCCATTTGTTCGTTCGGGGGCGAATACCTACCTTGGAAATACCGCGTGTGGCGTCGTCGTTCGCGCTCACACGCCGGAGGGGTGTGTATTATTGATTTTTCGAGGGCTACCACCGTTATCGAAGCTCATCTCGATTAGATTGATTGGCCAGCAATGATCGCTCGGTGACCGCCTGTTTACACGGCAATATCGCGGGCGCTGACTGTACGGCGATAAGCATCCAAGAGGATTACGACTAACGCGATTAGTATACTTGTGATTGAACAGCCTTTTCTCATAAGATTTTGAAAGAAATCAAGGCAGCGTGCTAGCTCAAATTGCTGTTACTAATGATTACGATTTATTTATTTAAATAAGCAATTTTGATATGTGTGTGTATTTGAGATCGTCCCACATGTATACGATATTATGGATAGTACAATTTCGACAGAAATTGATATTTAATAGCTGGTGAAAAAAATTAATCTTAAAAAGAGAGGGTTGAGACATTTTAAAATAAATTACGAAGTAACTTTAATCAACGAACAATTATTAATTTATGTTAGTTTTAACTTTGAGGCTTGCGTAGACTTGTGGCTCCATCTTGCGTACATTAGAAAGAAGTAAAATATTTAACCAGAATTTCAGGATAATACAGTTTAATATGAATTATATACGTTTTTCTGATTTTTAATTATACACAATTAAAATTTTTAAGATAATAATTAGAAGCGTTGCACTAAAAACTTATTTTTCAATTAGTTTATCGTAACTGATCATTGCCCTTTGCATAGAAATATATATTTATCATAGGAAGGCAAATATGCTCATGCGGTGACATTAAAAGATTTTATTGTTGTGATCAAATTTTATATTTTATTTTGGAACGATTCTTTGGTTTTCTATTAAATTTAAAAAATTTATAATATTTGAACTGATTAAAATAATAAATATAACAAAATTAATTTTATTTATTGCGATTTTATTTTATTACTATTATCAGCAACTACATTATATTATACATATGTGAATCACAAATGTATTGAATGATATACGTTACAAACATTATTATTTAATAAATAAATTCAAAAATATAACACTACAGTTACATTACATAGCAATAAAATATAATATCTAAACACCCAAATAATCGAGCAAAAAATAGATGATAGAAACTAATTATAACTTATTTATTTCATAATTCTATTCGATACATTTCGATTTCACGAAGCCTTGATCAGTTAAAAAATAATATATTATAAGTGCATGTATATGAGATCATCATATTGACGGAAAAGAAACCAGTAAAAATGTTATCTGATTTGGCCTATCATTGTCACTTCTATGTTATTTGATTTGGCTTATCAAACTGATATTAGATACAACTTAATTCTTGGTCTCTATATTTAATCAGCTACAACACTTATTAAAATTTTAATTTTTTTCTACCGTATAATCATTTTAATGCCATCCTTCAACTTCAAAACAAGGTATAATGACGATGTTGCCGATATAATCTCAAAACAATAGTGAAAGTGATATCATTCAAAAAACAGCACTTAAGGCACTATCTCCTTTTAGCATTTCAACTGAAGAAACCGGCGAGGATAAGGAAATGATTTGCTCGGCCTTAGATGAAAATACTGTCTTATATTATATGTAAAAAGTATTTTCAAAAATTTCGGGATAGCAAAAAATTATGAAGACGAAGAATTGGAACAGCTTTCAGAAGAAAATCAGACTCAAGAAGATTACTCGTTTTATGTAAATAAACAACATATTTAAAAAATTACAACATATGTTAAAAAGGCCAGGAATTAAGTTGTATATTTAATATTGTTACAGTATGTATATTTGCAATAACTCTATTTAGTTTATAACATAAGTTTATGTGTGTATGTGTGTGCGTATTATTTTTAACTGATGAAAATTCCGTGAAGTCGGAACGTATCGAATAAAATTAAATATATATATTCAATATATTATATTAATATGAAATAAATATATTAATAAATAATAATGAGGCTCTGTAAGTATAAAACAATATAGGCAAAAGAAGGGCAGAAGAGCCAATATTTCTAACCAAAGAACTTTAATTTAGGTCATAAAATTCATATAAAAATAACAAAAGACAAAAACATATGTTTCGACTCCACTCGAGTCATTCTCAATGTTGCGGTAAATTTATTCAAATATCGCTATAAAACAAATATATATAATATTATAAAACTCGTTATGATTCTAAAATACGTATCCTTCATTTTGTGTAGTGCGTTGCGAGTCAATTATATCGGAAATCGAAATAGTAAGAAAGTAAATATATTATAATTATCTTTTAACGTCTTTTTTTACTCGGCTATTTGATTGTTTAAATATTGTATTTTATTATTTAATAATATTTAAATTGGTACGAAATGCTAACCAATGTATTAATATTTATTGCAGATTATAGTATATTATTCATGGCAGATTGCAATACAAGTACACGTAGCGATATTTTAAGTCTTTATTTCAGAAAGACATTATTAATGTGAATAAAAATTTATTATTATATTAAATAATATCTACTCAAAATTTGTCTAATATTTTTACAAATTGTAATTAGAAAAAAATTTCCGAATATTCATTTAATTTTATTTACAAACAAAAAAATGATATTATTATATAATAAATTGTAATGCAACTCCGTTTTTTCGATACTGATTGACATGACACTGAAATAAATCTGTTATAAATCACTTTTGAATTTATGACGCTTAAATGAAATTAGAATCGGATAAACCAGGGAAAAATGGGGTCGTTTATATGTCTAATCGTATTTATTTGTTCATGTAGTGTAATAGTCACTATATGCTTAAATACAGGTGGTCTATTGCAGAAACGAATATACCAAAACTTAATAATGTACACGCTATTTAAGTGATTTTTTTAAATAGATATTCATCGATTACATCATCCAAGAAGAAAGGAGGATAGTATTAATATATTAATTTTATCAGATGTAAATACTCGACGAGTCAAAGAAAGTGTCTTCTAAAGGGGCGGTTTCCCGCGAACGCAGTATGGTTGTGGTTTTCCGTGATACGGAAAAAGGGAAAGTATAAAAAGAAATGAGATAGAGAAGAAGAATGAAGAATGAGAGTATTTCTATACAAAAGTAATAATGCGTCAGGCAAGAGACTCAAACGCTCGGACAGGCGAGAATAACACTATGGTACAAAGTTGACGAGATAATACTTTTTTTTTCCTTAGCGAGATTAAACTGATTATCTTCTCTTACGCTCCCTCGAACTGACACTCTTTTTTTCCACCTTTCTCTCCCGCTCTCTCGCTCGCTTTCTCATTCAGTCTTTCATACACATTATACGACAATGGCTGCAATAATAATTGTTATTGTGATGTAAAACGTAACACATTAACGCTTTGCGAACGAGCGAGACTTTCGAGAAATCTAATTAATTGTCATGCGTTACGTGCGCTGCTTATACACGCACAAAATTACGGCTTGATGTGCAAAAATTTTGCTTCGAACAATATCGAGCGGGAAAAACGATTTCCGAATTCACGTGCCGTATATACACCGTTTTTCTCGAATTCAAGTACCGTTCCCGATTGAGTCGCTTCCGTACATGACGATGATTATTATCGCTTTCGTCGGGAACAGTAAAAGTAAAAAAAAAAAGAAGACAACCAAATATCTTACATAAATCTCAATACTCTCTTTACAATGTGAAATTCTTCATCTTTGGTAAACACTACTAAATAAATATCGTTGCTTAGAATAAAAGATCGTGCTGAACCAAAGGTAGTCGTTATTTACTCGCGGCTCGTTGAGATAAAAAAAAACATTGGCAAATGGGCGCAAAATATCGCTTTGGAAGTCCTTCTTTTTCGTTAGATGGACTTTTTCGCTCACCTTTTGGTCATGGAAGCTTGTTCCGTTTCTCACTCAATATTCAACGGTCTCAAAAAAATCGCGTGAGTTATTCGGTCAAATACATTCGTTTTAGAAAAGAAACGCAACGCAGGCTTTGCGATCAATACAATAATTCGCATGTAAAAATGAAAGTCGTGTTTTACGGCCGTGAGAAACCGTGCACTCGGGGAACAAACTAGAAAAATAGATGCGCCTATATATATAAATGTATATATACATATATATATATATATATATATATATATGTGCTCGAGGATGCTTCTACGTCGTGATGTGGCGCGAACGTTGATATTATATTCCTTAGGTATCACACTATTTCTAAACTGTTACGGTGCGTGCGGCTGTGCGTAGATACAATAGTAGAAACAAGGGAAATATATACGCGATTTGACGATCAGAACTTCTTCACGTGCCGTCCGAGTGCCCGCTGCCGCACGATTCTTAATTGAACGATCCAATTGGAATCGAACATCGATTTTCATCAATTTTCGTCGCGCAAGCAATGCAACTACTAGATACCATCTAATTTTTAATACAGTAAACTAAAGTTGATAAAACTCGTAATCATTTTGGATAAGTGATTCGGATAAATACAAATGAAGATGAGCTACATTTTTTTACGAGTTTCGGGGCTCATACTTTATCACTTATATTAAATATTCGATTCAATAAAGTTCAATTTTTATTTATACGTTCGCTAATTAAATAGATCGAAATAATTCATATGGGATTAATGAAGATGCAATCGATTCGCTTTTCGCTGCTGATCGAGGATCCTCAATTTTAATAAAATTAAAATTTAGTCTCGTTGCCACTTTCGTTTCGTTCATATCGAACGAAGCAAAGTCGCCGTTGGGAGACTCGCAGTCACAAATATTCATTTCACTGGTCAGCACTGTCGCGAGTCGATCGTCATTCAAGCAATCAGGGCGTCATTTCCATGATCGAACCTTGGATGAGCCGTGGATTTTCTTCTTACTCGCGTACAAATAAACCTAGCTTACGCTATGTCACATTATATAAATTCGACGAAAGTTGTTTACTTATTCGGTCTGCCTATTTACTAAATAGCCTCTATTTCTCGCACGCCATTCTCTCTTATGTCGCAGTCTATATTGTTTTCTAGCACGATACTCCGCATCCTCGAGTTTCGCGAGTCCAGGTCGACACCGGGTCTATTCATTCGCGCTGAACGTTTAAAATTTTTTTTCGAGCGCGTAATCTCAAGATCGAAAGGTAATGAGCGTCGATTAAACGACTCGTGGAATTCACGAATTGCAATCAAAGAAGATCCATGCTTTCCTCACGCTTCTCTGAATAATTTTCCTTTATTTTCTTCGAACGACGTTAATTCGCATAGATTTAACTAATGATTAGTTCGGAATTCTCATCTCTCTTGCAACAAATCGACTACCTCATAGAGGTGCTGCAAGATTATTCAGAGAGGATAAATGTCGTCATTAATGACACCATTTATAATGCGTATTGCAGCACAAGACTTCTCAAAGAAAACGTTTTCTCCATTCAAGGATTCCTTCTCGTTTTCTTGATTCTCGATCTAACGTCGCTTAACACGATGAGCTTTTAAGCTCACCGATATCGGCGATATTCTGTAGTAGCGGTGCAGCTTCACTGTTGGCCTGGGATTTGGCATTGTAGCGTTGCTTGCTCAGCGCCGAAAGCAGGCTCGCGTTTGTCGACATGAGACGCGAGTTCGCAGCACCCAGGGCAGCTATTTGCTGTTCCTGCGCGTCGATCACGCGCTGCTTGTACGACAACGCCGCCGACATCTTCTGCTGTTCGCGACGTAGTTCCTCCTCCACGGAGATTAACCTGCGAGCAAAAAAGAAAACATTAAATTGGAGTTAAATGCGTGATTGCACGAGAAAGAGAGAGAAACGTTTGATAAAAGATTCGATAAAAGAATTAAAGCTCCTCTCATCGGAAATGTTCCTTGAAACAATCTTTATTCTTCGAGAATTTATATTTAGATAGAAATGCTGAGAAGATTATTTCGAATGATTGTGTTATACGCGAAGAATAAAGAGCGCGCCGAATTAACTCTCTCGAGCTTCTGCTGTTCAATTTGTATCATTTTACTTTGAAAAAAAAAAAGATATTCAGTTTATTGATGAAATTCTGTCTTCTATTTGAAACCGAGAGACATTACAGCGAAGCAGAAAAAGAACCAAGCGCACCACGATGCATAATTACTGAAACAATATCAAGAGATAAAAATAAAGTTGTAAGAAGCAACAGTGTTTGGTGCATAATTTAATATACTCTTGGAAAAGGACTGGAACATAAAGTCTTCCCAGAAATTATATATGTTTGCTTTGTATCATAATCAGTAGCGAGTATGTATGTATAATGAAAGAGAGAAAAAAGAAATGTCCACATATTGGAGAGGTTTGATACTGCAAACGTCTGCATACGGTACCCGGACATTTCTTTCTTTGCGACACACTTTCTTTGCAGATAATTATCTCAATGAATATCCGTGCACATGACCAAAATGAACGTGTTGAAATGTGAGTCATGAGATGTGTCGGTGTTCGATGAGCGCCAATTCGGTGAAAAATTGATAAAAAAGACGTTTCGTGATCGGTAATGTCAAAACAGTGAACACGAGTTTTCGTTTCGAGTTCAATTCCGAGTGGCGTATTTTCGAAAACCAAGAAAGAACACGATGAGCTAACATATGAATATAAAAATGTAAGAAAAGCTTATAAATATAATTGACTCTTACACCAAAGATCCAGATCAAGCCAGAGTATACCAAATGCAGCGGATAGAATGCACAGGAACACACAATCAGTTAAACATACATATCGTTTCGATAAAGTAGCCGTTCATATACGGGTGAGTGTTTCCCCATTAGTTTCGTTAGACATAGAAAAAGTGGTACACGCGATTAGACGACGTTCATCACTATCAATATACACGAAATAGACAATAATTTTAATGCTAATATATCTGAAATCGCGTTATTTATTATCAATAAAATTTAAATTTAACCCGTTGATAATTCATCACAAATTGTAAATACTATAAAATTGTACTTTTTGTCAAATATAACATTGAACGAAAGTTGCCAATTCGAATACCATTCTATATGACTGTAGAATTTCTGTATGGAGACTTCAAATGAATCTCACGACAAGTCGAGAAATGAGGATATGGAAGATCGAGTGGCTGAACATGGCGAGAAGTCGAAGTGAAAAAACGCAGAGACGGTGATAATGATCACGGTGATATCAGGGTTCACACTCAGGCAAAGACCCGATAATGGGTTAGCGACGTTAGTGCGGAAATGAAGATGAAGTACCTGGAAATGATGCTCTTCATGTTGGTGTCAGACGCGAGATCTAAATCAGCATCCTCGTTGGCACCTAATCGCGCGCGCAATCGCAGCCGATCTACGCTATTCTGTAGCCTCTCCACCTCATACAGATCCACTTCGTACTGGAAACGAATAAACGTAGCGTGTTAGTTACGAGAGATAGATAGAAAGAATATTTGCGTAGAGATATATTCGTTAGACTAGATTACAGAAAATTATAATCATTTATATGCAGTAGTCAGTAGACCCATAATAGAGTAAAGAATCTGTTATTTACATCTTTAAGGAAATGCAAAGTTGCAGATTTTTCCATGTTCAAGAAACAATAGTTAATTCAATTTAGAGCGTCTTCTCATTAATTACTCATAGTGCGTAAAACAAATTGCAAGTATCTTTCATTAACTCACCTGATCGATACTTCGATGACTGCGAGACTTGCTTCTCCTGGTGGTGCAATTTTCTTCCTCACTGGTGTCCGACAGATCTCTTGTAGAATCGAGGGAGAGTCTTCTTCGGAGCTTCGTGCAGCAAACATCCTGCGCGTGCTCTGAGTTATTTCTGTGAGTCTGATTGCTTTGTCGCCATTGGTTTTGACCGTTCCTCTGATGATTTCGTACGTTATTTTTGGGCGGTGGCGAGGGGCTTAGATCGACGCCTCTTACACTGTCGACACCGCCACCGCCGCTACCATCTCTCTCTTCGGAACTACTGCTGCCTCGTCTGCCTGTTCTCGCATGATTCGAGTCCATGTGGTAAACAGGATTAGCAAATGCCAACGGCGCCGTACTGAGAATGTGCGCGTTTGCATTGTTACTGCTGAGATCCACTGGACTGGAGCTCTGACTGTAAGCGGCGAAGCTTTGATAGCCCGAGGAAGCCACATTGCTTAATTGCGAGATGGAGATTTGCGAGCCCTTTTGTGACTTGGATTCCGACACTTCATCGTCCGCGTATCTTAGTAAATCAGATAGCTCATCAAGATTGCCGTTAGCGGACGCGTTGTTTCCCTTTGAAGTATTGTAATTATTGTTGGGCTGATGATTGATTGACAGTGTGAGATTCGTAGGCGGATTAACGACCACGTTAGCATTCACTGTGGTCTTCGAGACATTGTTATAATTGCGCTGTTGGGTCTGATTAGCGTTCTCTTCCTTGTGACAATGATTCCGGCTGGCCGATCTCGATACGTTGTAATTGTTATGATTAAAATTATCTTCGTGAATATCAAGATTTTGCGCGAGACGTGCGATGTTATGCCGATGCTGTTGCTGCTGCTGTTGCTGCTGAGAAACAATACTACCGTTACTCGACTGGATGTTTTGAGGCGACGTGGTGATATTATAATTGGAATCTTTCAAATTGTTGTGACTTTCGGAACGCGTGGGGCTTGCTGGATGAGTCTGGCAGTGATTGACGTTTGCCAGGCTCGCGCTGGCTGTCAGTCTATAACCTGGTCCAGATCGATTGGGACCAAGTGGCCTATGTTGCCGCGTGATTGGTGTTGGCGAACGCGACACGAACGCCGGCGGCTCCAAAGGATAATCGTCTGAGTTGATTTGCAGCTGCAACTTGCCGTTCGTTGGCATGTAAGCGTTTCGCGGTAGAGTCGCTGCTCTTGTGACGTTTGGACTGCGCGAACTATTGTGACCTAGAGTGTTGGTTTGCAGCACTTCATTGCTATCTCTGATCGTGCCGTTTATAGTACTGTGATTGCTCAGTGTCGACGTGGCCGAAAGGGAGAGATTCGAGTTGCTGTTGGCGATCGTCGGATCATTGTAGCGGAAAATATTATTTTGTAAGTTCGGATAACGATGTGTGGGGGGGACGGGACTCGGACCTGGTTGATCCAGAGCTATGGAGATTCTATCAAGGATCTCGGGTAATCGCGATGGTGGCATTGATGGCGAGGATGGAGCTACCGTTGCCACACTTTCTCGTAAAAGAGCATGCAGCAGAGACAATTGTTTGCCCAGATCTATGTAGCCATCAAATTCAAGCGAGTTATTAGTTGGTGCATCCTTTGGTAGTGGACTCTGTTGAATAGAAAAATTATATTTGTACAGAGCACATTTCTTTATACACGTAGTTATATAAAATTATAGTTTTAGGTTTCAGTTTTAGTTGTAGTTTTTTAATTTATAAAAATGTTCTTATATTTTTTCCATTAATCTATTCAAAAAGCGATATATAAACTCGTCGGAAATTAAAATATCAAATAAAATATTATACGATACTTACGCTAATTAGCTGCAAGAAATTCTTCATAGACGGAGCTTCGCGTTCAAGTAAATCATTCATAAATTCCATGAAATTTTCCTTGCCTTGGAATCTCGTAAAGTTCGCAAGCGTTTGAAGCGTCTTCGCAACCAGAGTGAGATTTCTCGCTGCTTTCTCATTCGGATATTCTAAAGTAAAAATTATTTTTTTAAAGACTTTTAGGGCCTTTAAATGTGTATTAAGTTTTCACGTAATTTTTAGTTTATAATTATAATTAATGGATGTTATTACAAATCTGTACAAATATAATACGCGTAGCAATCAATAATCCATACTAATCGAAATTCACTTAAGATGTAAATATGTTTTGATTTACCGTGCGTAATGTTGAAGAGAGACGGACTGAGAATGGCAGGACAAAGGAATCTTAGAAAGATCGATGCGGAGATAAGATTGTCTGCAATGTCCTCGCGGCCCAGATCGGCCAGACGTTCACGGAAAATGCGGAAGCACTCGCGTAATTCTAGCGGAAAATGAGCGTGGCTTGATAATATTCTGCTCCAAGCCAGCTCTACGGCGTTGCGAAGGTTCTGCTGTTGTTTGTGCAACGCAGCGACGGAAGCGACCTTGAGTGGATCCACTTCGCAATCGCCGCCTTCGACTGCTCCTCTCACAACGGCTCCCAGAGTCTCTTGTAAATATCTGTCCCCGGTCAATTTCAAGTAAGCTTCCATTGCCTTCGTGGCTAAGGAATTCCCTCGAAAAGTGAGTCTTTCATCATCTGAAATATTAATAAATACAAATTAAATTATAAATTGCAAATTAACGAATCAAAAGTAGGAAAAAAATAAAATAAGAATTTCAAACAACAATCGTGCTTGAAACAAAACTTTAAATAAGAGATATTGACAGTTTTATGCGTAAGAATTAATTATATGAAGACTGACCTATTCGATGAATGTCCATCATGACGAGATCAGCGAGGAATTGCGGCGCTTTTTTCTCCCGTTGCATCACTGCTACCAAGGCAGTCGCGATGTCTTCTTTCGCCTTGACGCCGATGACGGGTTCCAATTTTTCGCATAGCGACGCGTAATCAGTTTTCAGATATTCCAGAAACTCTTGATACACTTGAACCGGCAATATGTCAACGGACTGAAACCGGCACTTTACTCTTAGTGCAGGAGGATCTTTGAGAGGTCCCTTGTCACCTACTACGGTATACCATTTCTCTGTTAAGTAACGCGATGTCACATTGTGTACTGGTATACTGACGGAACCTAGAAAGAACAATTGGTATGTATATCATTATATACGTGTTGCATTTATATCGCATTATGATTATGGTAATTCACTTCGTATAATTTTGAGTTTATGTATTGTTTCATATGTATAATATGATTCATATATCGTATTTTAAATTTATAGCGTATATATGTGTGTAATCAAACATTTTTCTACGTATAATATAACGTATGAATGATATACATATAATGTAAAAATTTTTAATTCTTTGTAATCAAGTGCTTACCGATTAAAACATTTTTGTCTCTCTTCTTTTTCCTGTCTGCTTCCCTGTACAGGTTCACCTGGATGGTATTGACAGAAGGTAAATGATGGAAATCGAAGTGCTCGCCCCAGAAGCACAAGTCGGCCTTCAGCTTGGCAGTTGTTCGCGCATACAAGGTGCTGTCGAGACAGACCTCGCAAAAATATCGCTTCTTCGCAGGCACGCCCTTCGCCTCCAGTAACCAAATCTGCAGCGAATTGTCCGTTCGACGTGTCTGTTCCGCATCCGGCTGAACGGATTTCCTTAAGCTGCGCATATAATAAATAGATATAGTTTGTAGCTTTTATACGTCCCTGCTTATACGACGTCACATGATATAATAATTGGCTCGAATAAAGATCGAATAATACAGATTTATTTGAGGATTGTTATACTTCAAAATCAAATATTGTAATGACATAAATACTGAAAGTACATATTTATGATAATGTTCTAGTTTGCATATGTATGTATTCTCTTGACTTTCAATCCGCTTGCGGTATTACCGAGAGATGAGCACTTCAATTTTGCATAATTCAAGTCAAATGTCATATTTATCAAGGACTATACGCAGTCGAGAAACTGCGTGGTAAATCTAGAGCGTCGCGTACAGTATCCAGTTCCGAAATGATCGGGTGCATCGTTCTCGTATGACGAAAATAAAACGGCTGCTTATCTCTGGCATGGTGTGTGGCAGAGCGATAAATAAAAAGCAATGCGCAACCCGGTTCAACCAACCTGAGCAACCACTGGTCCCGTTCGTGAGCGGTTTTGCAACTGAAATACTTCGGCCCGCCAGTACTCGGCGTGACCTGGAAGCAGTGTGGCCTGCCGAGGAGACTCGGATGCAGCGGCGTCACCGCTGCGAGGTCCATCGAGGTCACCGCCTGACCGCACAGCAGAGACTCGTGTGAACGGCATCCTCGGAGACCGGCGCCCCGTTGCTTTTGCCGCTCGAGCTTTGTTACGCTCTTCGTTCTCTTCAGAGGGTTCGACCGGAACGATCGCTTCGAGAAGAAATTCTACAAATGAGAAAAGACATATTTGATTAAGAGTTGTGCACGGGATTTAGTACACGGTTCAGAATTCGTGAGCATTTCGTCGAAAAGCATAATGCATGTATTGCAATATAAATCTTGTCTTTTCAGTGACCTAGCAATTGTATCTACAGATAAAAGTAAAAGAAATATGATAAATAAATAAATAAACATAGTGTAGATTTTTATATATTTGTTCTTTAATAATTTTGTAAAATACGGAAGCGTATAATTTCATATATGTATGTCTACTATTAAATATAATACAATACTCGATATTTTCTTATCTCTTATTTCGTAAATTGTTTATCAAAGAGAATGCCTTATTCCACTTTGGGTTTTGTAAGTTTGATATATTTCTTTCGAAAGAGAAGTAAGTTTGGGTGGTTGCCATTAAGATGGTTGTATCGCAAAATGACTTTTCTTAAGATTTGTTTGAAGCTTTTACTATTTGAAGATATATTCTCTATACATACATATCATTTTGAGAGGGGGGAGGAGGTAATTAGAAATGTTCAAAAAATAATTGCATTTGAAGTTAGTATTTTTAACATGTACTAGACAAGGAGTTCCCTGTGCCAGACAAGAAACGATTATAGTACATTTTTAATTATAGCGCAAAAACGATATTTAAAAATTTGCTTAAAAACTAGATAAATATAATACGAATTTCCTAAACCGAAGAAAATGGGGGATAACCAGACAAATATTAATTATACAACCTTAAAAAATTACTTTACTACTTCACTAATATCCACTTTGCTTATCAACTCATTCTCAAGTATTGGATCACAGTGAGAAAATAAAAATTACTATTAGGTAATAAAAATTATTGTTAAAAAATTACAATCTGCAGCAATTCTTGAACAGTAATTTTTTTTCCACAGGCCGATTGCCACAGGCCGTTCTTATGCGATACAACCACCTTAAGAAAAAATTCTGGATGTACAAAAGAAACAAAAGAGAACTTCGTGGCATTATCTGACAATACAATGAATTCCGTAGCAACATATTACTTAATGTCTACAGTATTACGTATGGCATTCTCTCTCCCATTCCTCCATTTCTATTTAATGTATTATTTAAAATAAAAAATATATATCAATGTATATTAATTTATAAAGAATATATATCAATTAATATACATTAATTTAACAGAAGCACTCTTTCTCTCTCTCTCTCTCTCTCTCCTCCTTCTTCTTTTTCTTCTTCTTGTTTTCTAATATATTTTTATAAGCAATACAAAATAAATGAAATATATATTTAAAAATTTTCCGAACTGTAAAAGCAATTCATAAATAACTCGCTTGTTTTTAATAATAGAAGGAAAAGTGCCAAACAAAAGTTGCATGGTTTCAAGAGGGACGTATTTTGGTCATATTGTCTTTCTTCTAAGTGGAGGTGCTAAAAAGATATCAAGATTACCTCCATTTTTTTAAATGGAATTAAATGATTTTTTACACAATATGGTTCCTCTAATAATTCTGCATATAAAAGTATTTAGTGATATCAAAAAATCAACAGTTTATGAGATATTTTATACTTATTCTGTCACATGTTGACATAAAATATTAAATATCTCGTAAACTATTAATTTTTTAATAATCTTAATACTTTTATGAACAGAATAATGAAATGAATCAATTAATGGAATTAATTAGTAGAAAACATATAATTGTTTATTTAAAAAATTATCCATTTTGCATACATTTTTTTAAAGTAATTTCCGATATTACAAAAATTATTTGGAATAAAAGTTAATCAGTTTTCAATCGGCTACAAATTGCAATATTAAAAATTTGCAAAATATTCTTTTTTAGGGAAAAAGTCAAAGTTACCTTAATTTTTTTAAATAGCACTATGATTTTTTTGTTTCATAATATTGTAATTAATGTCAAAACAAGTTTAATGACCTGCTATACTATAACCTTGAGATGACTTTAAAGTCAGACGAAAATTATTTCCGTTCATTGATCCCACACGTCTGACTTTAAGATCATAATATAGCAAGTCATTGAACTCGTTGATATCAATTACAATATTATAAAATAAAAAATATGTTGTGCTATTAAAAAAATTAAGGTAACTTTGATTTTTTTTCCTAAAACAGAATATTTTGTAAATTTTTAATATTGCAATTTGTAGTCAATTGAAAACTGACTAAATTTATTCAAAATAATTCTTGTCAAATCATTGGAAGTGCCGGAAAAATCGTGATCCCAGTTACGTGGGATACCCTGTATATATATACATACATACACAGGGTACTCAAAAAAGGTTGGAATCTCGGATTTATCAGGAGGATGACGTTTTTTAAAACAATGTTTTAGATAACAATGTTTTAAAAAGATCTATTTACAGGTCTTATCAATTTGACTTTGAGTGGCGTCGCCAAAGTCAGGCCAAGGTCAAATCGATTTTTTTTAATAGAACACCCTATTTTGAATACCAGAATCTAATAACTGGTGTCAAGAACTTTTCAAAACACTGTAATAAAGTTATTTTCATTAAGTACTTTTCGAGTTATAAGGCTGGAAAGTGTCACCGGCATTAGTATTACGCAAGGTGATCAACGGCTAAAAAGGTTCAGGATCATGTCGTGAATAACATTTGTTAAGATCAAGATCATTAAGGATTATTCCTCTTATTTTCATTTTTGCATTAAAAATTTTTATGTAAAAATGAAATGATCCCAACAACATTCAAGAGATTTTAGCACGTGCATGCGTGAGTGTATGTATGTGTGTTTTTAATATATGCAGTCGATCATTTTTTCTTTTTCATGGACTGTTAGTCGAAAACCAACTTAGACTTAATTTTTTTATATGATGTAGATAAATACTGTACAAATAATCCCACAATTTGAACAATATTGACCGTATAGTTTTCTTGTAATAACAAAGAATATAAATATCGTTCGAAGCTTGCACAGCAAAATAAACATACATATACCAAATAATCTATAGATGTTTCGACTTTAGAATCTTCTTCAATATAAATTAAATCAGCTTCTACTTAACATAAATACTGTTGTCTATTGAAATGAATTCCATGTTATTCCAATATAATTAAATCTGATGGTAATGATACATCATGTCCGTCTTTAATAGATGTCTAAATCTTAAAATATTCAAAACAGCAATCCTCATTTAACGGCGAGAATCACGTTCAGTCCTATAATGTAAGTTTAAAGTTAATTTAAATTAATATTAATGGTATGGAGCAATTTTAACAAGATTTTCGACTGTCCCTATCTGATAATAACGGTCTGTATCGAGTCTCAAGGAGTTCATCTTTGGGACTCGCTATAGATCGTTATTATCAGATAAGGACAGTCGAAAACCTTGTTAAAATTGCTTCATACCATTAATATTAATTTAAATTAACTTTAAATTTACATTATAGGACTGAACGTGATTCTCGCCGTTTGAAAATCTTATTAAAATTAATTCTATATATAATATATTATATGATTAAACAATTGCTATCAAACATCATTGTGTGCTCGTTTATTTATGTATCGTTTTTATAATTAAATTGTTTTCTTGTAATATTATTCTGAAATTGATTTTAAGCTTTATAGGAGTCGAATATTGTTTCGAAGTAGATAATCTTCTCACTAATTTAATATACACTCAGCCAACTTAGGATCTTGAAACTAGGATTTAACAGATGAAATATTAACAATTGTGTACAATAAAGAAAAATCGGACTTTACCGTATGGATTTAAAGTTTTATTGTCACAAAGTTTACCTTTATCTCGCGGATCGCATTAGTAATAAGACTTGGCAATGCCGCAGTGCACAGCTGATAGATACGAAGCTAATTTCATATAACCTAGAATCCATCTCGGCGTAAAGAAACAGATATGAAAATAATACAAAATAGGCTTTTAGAGCTGCCGCACACAAAATTCTATAACAGTGACCGTAAGATGTAAATTTAAGCCGATGAGCCGATAATCAGGATATTGTTTTAGGTCTACGTAATCTAACAAAAATGAAAATAATAGTAAACTTATCCATAACCTCGTAATAAAGTGAATTTTAACCATAGACATAATAAGAATAGACCGAGCGTCCTCCATAGAACTTATAATAATGAAACCGGAATGATCTATCCAAGTAGTGGGTGGAAGGTGTGAGCAACATCTGAGAGACAGAAGATGTATTTCTGTCTTGCTCAGTAACTTTTCTTCTTTCTGCGCATATGCCAAAATAGGATAGAAGAGAATAGAAAGACATTTCTGTCCTTCAGAGCTGTGTTGCTCACAGCTCGACATCCGTATGCCCTTCCATCAGTGTGAGTTCTATGTGTCGTCTACTTTGCATTTTGGCGTGAAGATTAGGTAAAAAAGGACAGAGAGCAGATGCTGTGTAGCTTTCTCTCTCTGTCCTTTTTTCGAACACACTCAATTGTCTACTACACACACTCGATCTTTCTACTTTTCTTTTTTTTTCACACCTTACTCCTCCTTCCCCCCCTCCACTCTAAAAAGAGAAAGCTACATGGCATCCATTATCTGTCCTTTTCTACCTAGTCTTCATGTTCCAAACCTCACACTCGGTCTATTCTTATTATGTCTATGGTTTCAAGTGGTTGAAATTCGCCTTATTGCGAAATTATGGATAAATTTACTGTTATTTCCATTTCCATTAGATTAGACATAGACCTAAAGCAATATCCTAATTGGTTCATCGGCTTAAGTTTACGTCTTACAGTCACTATTACGGAATTTTGTGCGATAGCCCTTATATCGATTCTGAATTTTTCCCTTATCATTCGTCATAGCCGATCATCGCCCAATTACATCGCGAAATGCAACGTTGCCAAATATACCCCCGATCTTCCAATCTCATACATTTGTTAATATTCTATATTTTAATAATTTTACTAAAAATATAGCTCATAAATAGTATCCACAATTCATTATACTAATATTATATATGACACGGAATGACTCTCTCTGTAATGACAATTTATT